GCAAGTTTCAGTTTGACAGTTATGGCAGTTGAATGGTTTCTAATTTTATTGTCCAATCAGATGATTTAAAATTCAAAACTACGCATCTGATTGGACAATAAAATTAGAAACCATTCAACTGCCAGAAATGTAAAACTGCAAAGAATTGTAATCGCGTGGTACACAAATATGTCCTTTGCCATTGACAAAACCGTCACTGACAAAGTGCCTAAAAAACGGTTGTTTCGCAGTTTACTGGGAACAATAGTACAAGAACCACAAATCCACAAATGTGGGGGTAAGTATTCTGCAATAGACTGCCATGGTTTGTTTCTAACTGATGATGGCGATGATGATTATGGTGGTGATGGTGATAATGTTGATGATGGTGATTGTGATGACGGTGATTATGATGATTATGATGGTGATGATGGTAATGATGATAATGATGGTGACGATGATGGTAATGATTGTGATAATGGTGATTGTGATGATGGTAATTGTGATAATGGTGATTATGATAATTGTAATGATGGTGATTATGATAATTGTGATAATGGTGATTACGATAATTGTGATGATGGTAATGATGACAATGGTGATAATGATGGTGATGATGATGATTGTGATGACGGTGATTATGATGATGATAATCAGGTGGTGATAATTGTGATGATAGTGATTATGATGATTGTGATAATGATGATGGTAATTGTGATGATGGTAATTATTATGATTGTAATGATGGTGACAATGATGATGATTGTGATGATAATTGTGATATTGAGGATGATGGTGGTAATGCATGATGGCAAAGATGTGGTGGTAATGATGATTATAATCATATGATGCTGCATGGTATAAAATTATACAGCAATCTGAGTAGCTAAAGCATACAACATCTCTCAGTTAGAAAACCACAGGATGTACCTGTCACTTTCATCACATAGCTCATCATCAGGGAACACTGGAGCTGTTGTGAAAGAGAAAAGATTTTTGTAAAATGTTTAGACATTTTCCCAATATAATTGCAGAAGGATAGTTTTGTAAATGTTTAAGGATAATACTTACATGAAAACAGGAAGTTGAATCCTGATCGTCCAGCTATTTCTGGGAAACTGGATAAAGTTGAAGAACGGCAAATATTCTGTAAAAAATGTTTTGTAATGTAATTTTATTGCTCAAAAAAATTGTCGAGGTGATGACAATATTAGGTGGTAATGACAATATTAAGTGGTAATGATCAAAGTAGGCGGTTATGATGATGATAGTGGTGATGATAGTGGTTGTTAAGGGTGATAGTGATGACAATGGTGGTGATAATGTTGGTGGTAATGATGGTGATGATGGTGGTGATAATGTTGGTGGTAATGATGGTGGTGATGATGGTGGTAACACAATGATGGTAGCAGTGAATATGACGAATTTTGAGAAACCCAATGGTGGCAAAGATGGAAGCAACAAATAATTATTGATATAAACTAACCTTTCCACTAAAAGAAATGACTGGCACAACAAAACGTGACCTGCATCTTGCTAACCTTGCCTTCCCAATAAGTGGCTTTAACTGAGAAGTATCATTGATTTTAACTCTACATAATAACAAAACAACAAGTAAATACAAAATGCCATTACTGTCATTGCAATGGAAGTGTTGATAAAATATCGCATCAATTCATTACTAATTAGCTCTAGCTGATCAATTCATTCGTTGAAAAATTGATCAACTTCCTGTATGTGTGTTTGAATCAACCAATGGCTTTGTGTTTCAGTGAATGATTGACCAATTGGGAACAAGCATGCCAGTAAACAGGAAGTTGAGCAATTTTTGACTAAATGAATTGATTGTTGCAATATTTTATCAACACTTACACTTCTATTGTAATGACAGTAACAGTCACTGTGATTACATATGCTTTTTTGTCCTGTTTGGTTGTGTAGAGATGTATTAAGTAAATGTTTGGTACCTTCTATCTGTAAAAAGTTCTTCGCCTCTCAGTATTTCTGACTCAATAATAATTATTCTCTGTGGATAATGACCACACAACTCTCCATTACCATTTGTCAGTACCTATGAATTCAATGTGTGTTCACATTAGGAAGATTTTTGTTGCAAAAATAGTTTCTTAGTTTGTCCACCTTCGGGAAACATGGCTAGGAAACATTGTTTCCTAGATAGGAAACATTGTTTCCTAGCTAGGAAACATTGTTTCCTAGTTTGTCCATCTTTGGGAAAGATAGTCATGAAACAATGTTTCCTGGTTTGTTCACCTTTGGGAAACATGGCTAGGAAACAATTAATGTTGGCTAGGAAACAATTAATGTTGGCTAGGAAACAATGTTTCCTGATTTGTCCATCTTTGGGAAACATGCTGTTTCTTGTCTTGTGTGACAAAATTCAACATGTTAAAACGAGAAAGACCCTTCTCACAACTGAATCGCCCTAGACTGAAATTCAGACAATAACTTTGCATATTTGCATATGGTTGTCTGAGTCACCAAGTGTCTGATTCAATCGAGTCAATACAGCACAATATTAATATACATTACCGATATTTCATAATCTTTCATAAATAAATCAATACAACGATCCAATATTCTCAGAGCCTGTCAAACAGAACAGAAATTACCAAGAATATTTGTATAATGTAGGTTTTAACTTAAATTCATGGCGTAAACAAAAGCGGAACAACTTTTATAGTCACATACCTTTTCATCTGAGCTACTCGCAGAGTATGTTTGCTTTGAAAAATACGATAAAAGATCGCACAGATCTTTCTTTATAATATCCTCCTCCAGGTTCATCTCATGTCAGATATTTGTAAAAAAAAACACGAATAAATTCAGTGTATTTTATAGCATTACATTTTTTATACTGACAAATCATTTTCATAGAAACGTTTCACTTTATCACTTTACCTTACATGAAGTTTCGCTGAGACAAGGGGAGCACACAGGGTAAAACGGAAGAAGAATGAGTAAACAGGGTTGCAGTTAGAAATATCCATACTTTATTCACATCATCCGTGATATCATCCCACTTACCCTGTTTTCTTCTGATCTCAAAATAATGACATATAAATGGAGTGTGTTCGATTAATCATACAATCAATAAATCTGCCCCGAAGACATGATCAATAATGGAAGGTCTAACTCTTAACTCGTTCTAATAGATTTTAAAACAATATTTGTGAATTGAATAATACACATATCAAACTTACAAATAATGTACATAAAATAATTAAAACAATATTTCTCAATATATTGAAATGACGTAAATCAGAGCTTACAAAAATGTACACAATGCCAAAACTGTAGTTTAAATTACAATTATATACGCAAAATATTCTGGTATGTCTATTTAATTTTAAAGTCACACGCCATGTTAGGATCAGTGCGTTAGCCTGCCTTAACTTGAAATAAAAAGATTTCTTTTGAGCAATTAATATAGATATGTAATATGGAACTATGCTTTTCCATATCATATTTGTCATTTTCATACTACCCACATTAATTTACATTTATAAATTTTTCTGTGCAATTCAGTTTACTTCCAAGGCCTGTTGCTTGACGTGGTAGAACTGGTTGATAGTCTACTGCTGGAACTGGCTGCAGAGGAACGACTTGAAACTCTTGAACTCATACGGCCTACAATGCGATGAAAAAATTGCGATCAACTCAATTTACAGACAAGTTTTGCCGGATGGAGTGACGGTCGTGGCTAAAAGGGATGGACTACACGGCTAAAAATGCACAGGTTGTTCCAAGTTGATATCGTTCCAAGTTGTTACAGTTAAACAATGCTGTAACAACATATTGACAATACTGTTCATAGTTGGCCGCACAACATTGTTCACGCCTGTCGAGATCAACAGAACTTGGAACAAGTTGTTGACTTTCTCAATTTTTACGCATGTAGAGGCAGGTTTTCAAGATGGCCGCCAGTTTTTAAGATCATTAAAACGTAAACGAATCAACAACCGGCCACTTGCAACTATACTAAACTTTACCCTTACCCCACACCTAACCCTACCCCCCATACTAACCCTAATATAATACTAACCTTACCCCACACCTTACCCCTAATCCTAACCCACACACTAACCCACACACTAACGCAAACTCTTATTTAAATTTTGGAACCATCTCGTAAACTACCTCTCATCCAGCCCTTTTAGACATTACCATGGAGTGGGATTTTCAAAACAGTGGAAAAAGCCGGAAAGAAACATTCCGATAACTGGATCGTGACTAGATGACACAGTGACACTATTGTGATTTTTTTCTGTGTTGGTGTTGTGTACTCAGGTGAATATGATGTTTGTGATATTACTCTGAGTGTATATCCACACCGGGCAAGCTTGAAAAAAATGCCTGGACCGACGGTGGGAATCGAACCTACGATTATGCAAAGAGCTCATTCTGTATTACTTACTGCTGTTTTCCTGCTTTAGTAACTCTTCGTTTAAGCACTCCTGTATTATCTGGAGGTCTGAGATTTATTTATTAAGGTCATAAATACACTGGCTAATTTAACCCACGAAACCTGACCAGTGGAGGTACTACGCTATTTACAAGCATTTGTCCCTCAAAATAACACTGACGCATTCTTCAAAAACGCGGACAAAAGGATACGACGTCGAGAATAGAACTCCCAATGATTTCCATCAGAGGTGAGAAAAGTCGTACGTACTTTCTTCGTAGCACGTCGTGTGGGTGGCGGTGAAGGCATACAGGATTGTGGTAGGGTACCGGACATGAAACCCTCGGGGAAACGTTTATTCAGCACCTTCATACCTTAAGGATAAAAGAACGATAGTTATGAATACGGAGGTTCGAGGTGCTTGCTTTGATAATAGAGGGAGGTTCAGATTTGACTTCCACTGCCGCTTCGACCAATCAGATAGATGCGTTTCATATATATCATTTCATAAATGTGTCCATCTGTAACAAGATCAGAGACTCTAAACTTAAAATCTCAAAGCACAAAAACGAGGCTCTATAGACCCATTGCACTGACGTCACAAATCCTTAGAGTGTCCTCCAGATGCTCCCTAACAATGTCTTTTCGGGTACAACAACCACATACAGCGCAACAATTAACCATTTTAATACAAAATTATTATAAAGTTTTACAAAATTTGCTTTGTTTATAAAAGTTATATTATGCATACATGCATATCCAGATGCATCGTCCCCGGCTCTGTGACGTCATGCGCAATGGGTCTATAGCCAAGGCTGAGAACTTTCTGGCAGCCCGAATTGCCACTTACCTCCGGACAACATGAAAATATTATCAAAACCGCGCTGTACAAGTGTTGTGGCAACAGCTGGAGCATATCTCTCGTCTTCGTCATAACATATGATGATTTTACCTTGTTGGTTTTTCTAACGGCACAAGTTAAGAAATTTACCGTTCCCCTTGGAGAGTAAAATCGTCTGCCGTTAGGCGGAGTAAAATAATCTGGTGTTAAGGCCGGTTTAGAGCAATTTACTTATTCTGATACAGCATGGAAACGAGTAGATGAGTTATGATATTCTGAACCTTACAGTTCAATGATATAACCTCGTCTGAGCATTCATAACTCATCCAGTAACTCATCCAGTAACTCATCCAGTAACTCATCCAGTCGTTTACAGTCAGCACTTGTTTCCATCCAGTGCACCAAACTGACCTGACGTCATTTTCGGAAGATGGAAGAGGTGTTAAATGGCCGTATGTAACTAACCCAAACCTACCCCTACTCTAACCCCTAAACCCAACCGCAACCCTAACCCTAACTCTAACCCTAACCAAATTAATAAAATAATCCAAAATTAAAACTTTAGAAATTGATCAAATGACGTAACGTCAGTTTGGTAGATGGAAACCTGTAAGTGAAAACTGTCGTTTACATCCATCAGAAGATAGTCGCACCTAATGGACCATTTGCATTATAGACTAAATTTTGATTTTCACAAGTCTAGACAAAAATTTCACCACAGCTTCAAAGAGCATCACAAAATTAGTAATATTTCAAAGGTTCGTTGCGAAATGTTGTAAAATACGGATAATATAGCCTTGCAAAGTTTGCCGTTTTTCAGTCATTTAATTTGCATTACGCGGGGGAAATTGACAGCCCAATACCCTTTGAGGCTGTCAATTTCCCGTTTGTAATACAAAATGACTGAAAAACGGCAAACTTCGCAAGGCTATATATTATCCGCATTTTACAACATTTCGCAACGAAACTTTGGAATATTACTAATTTTGTGATGCTCTTTCAAGCTGTGATGAAATTTTTGTCTAGACTTGTTTAGATCAAAATTTAGTCTATAATGCAAATGGTCCATTACCGAAAACTAACCCTGGACCACCTGAAACAAGACAGCTACTCAAAGGATACAAATGATGATAATTCCTCTGTGCACCAATTCACAGTTCTCGATAAGTAAGCCTTCTCATAATTTATTGCTAAAAACAAAAAAAGGAAATCGCATGTTAGAAGACATACATGCAAAGACGCAGAGAATGCCAGCAACCAAATTACTGTAAAATTCGAAATTAAATATAAATTTGAAAAGAATTTTTTCTATCACCGCACACCTCCAATAATGTGACATTGCTTAAATTCATCAGGCAGTCTTATATCCAGGAGGAGATAGGGTAACGATTGAACATCGGGTGTAATCACAGTGGACTGAGTCGAGCGTGCAGACAGCTGGTCGAGATCATTTTCATGTTGTTCATCTTGTGCCTTGAGATCAAACTCACCAACACCTCGAATTAAACTACATGAGAAAAATTACACTTTATATATTACCTAGTACAAACTTAAACTAATGCCACAAACTGTGTACAAAAAATTCCTCTAAGCTTTTTGCCAACTTCTGATAAAAAGATTAGGATTGATGATTTCTGTGCCAAAGCTTTAGGTAGGGTCAAGAAAATGGAAACCCAGGTACTTTTTTCTTTGGCCTAAATTTAATATGTGAAATTTGTCATCTTTTGAACTCAATATTCCAAGCTACTTACTCATGTAAGGTGGATCTTGCCGTGTCCGTGCCAACAGTAGCGCTCGTCTTTTGTCTGGCAGTTTCATCTGGTGGTAGGTTTAGTGGTGGTACATTTTCATTTGCTGTTGCAATCCCTCTTTCCTCGCTGGCTGGAGTATCGTCACCATGGTTAGACATACTTGCTACAAATGTATGATATATTCTTGTTCTAGACTAACTTTTGGCAAAAACTTGACTGAAATTGGCCTGGCTAATCTTTCTTAATTGCACCATCATATTTTTGTAGTGGACAGTTATTAATACAATCCATGTCATTGTAGATTTAAATAGATTACAGGGGAGTTACTAAGGGGGGGGGGGGGGTAAGGGGGGG